TTTTTTTTTTTTTTGAGACAGAGTCTCACTATGTCGCTCTTGGTAGAGTACCATAACGTCACAGCACACAGCAACTTCAAACTCTTAGGCTTAAGTGATTCTCTTGCCTCAGCCTCTGAAGTAGCTGGGACTACAGGCACCCACCACAATGCCTGGCTATTTGCTGTTGTTGTCATTGTTGTTTAGCCTGCCCAGGGTGGGTTGGAAACCACCAGCCATGGTGCATGTAGCTGGGGCTGTAACCAGTGAGCTATGGGTGCTGAACCTCTGACTAGCATTTTAACAACTTCATCTACTGCCAACTCTGCTGAGAGTTTAGAGATGAGCCAGATAGCCTTTTGGCAGCAAAGATAAACAGCATAAAGACCATGTTAAACTCAATGACTGTAGTCTTAGGAAACTCATAACCTGAGTTCATTGTTTAAATCAATCAATTGTACATATTTATCATAGATATGGAAACAAATAATAAAATATATAAAAAGGAGAATTCTGTGTGTTTATCTAATTTCTAAATCCATGCAGATGAAGAGGAAGAAAGAAACTTTATAACTATAGACACACTGACCACTGTGAGATGTTAACTTTCAAATGATTGCTGTTAAGGCAGAAATGGATAAACTATAAACAACAGACCAAAAAAACTTAGACTATAACAGTTTAGATCATTTAAGTACAGGGACAAATGCTTTCATCCAGTTGAACATGCCCTGCACCTCATTCTAGTACAGCCAGTAAAATAAAATTCACAGTGATTATTCTGAGGCAATTATGAAAACTGAATTATATTCAAAATACAGTTGGCCCTCCATATCTGCAGGTTCCACATCTACAGGTTCTATATCTATAGATTCAACTGAGGATCAAAATATTAAGGAAAAAATATTAAAAATAACAATAAAAATAATGCAAGTTAAAAGGCAATACAGTAAAAACCATTCACGTAGCGTTCAATTGTATTAGGTATTATAAATAATCTAGAGATGACTAAAACTGTATATACAGGAGGATGTGTATAGGTTACATGCAAATATATATACTACACTATTTTTTACACATATAAGGGATGTGAGCAGATCTTGGTATCGCTGGGGATCTTGGATCACTTCCCTGAGAATACCAAATGAGGACTATACTGTTAAAAAAAAAAATGGGAAAAAAATGTAATTTCAAAGGAAAAACAGTTAAGCCATAGGAAGAGGAAAAAGGTTTACAGCTGTGAGGGTTTGCAAACTCCTATGTCTGAGGGGTGAAAGAGGCATGCAAATAAGGAAATCCCACATGAGAAACAGAAACTGATAAATGGTGGTCATTCTGTCAGAGAGAATAGGGAGCAGTAGTAGCCATGAGGCACCAGCAGGCAGGAGCCCATCCCACTTCCTACTATGCACAAAGGCAGGCTCGGCATTGCCAGATGTGATGTTTTATAAGAACGCTAAAACCTGGCCTTTTTTGTGTGTGTGTGGAGGCAAGAGTCTCCCTTTATTGTTCGTGGTGTCGTAGCTCACAGCAACCTCAAACTCCTCAAACTCTGGGGCTCAAGGGATTCTCTTGCCTCCGCCTCCCATGTAGGTGGGACTATAGGTATCCATCAAAACACCCAGCTATTTTTAGAAACGAAGTCTCGCTCTGGCTCAGAGTAGTCTTAACCTGTGAGCTCAGGCAACCTACTCACCTCAGCCTCTCAGAGTGCTAGGATTATAGGTGTGAGCCACCATGCCTGGCCAAAACCTGGCTTTTCAAGTAAAATCTGATATTTAAATTTTGAGGCTAGATACAGTGGCTCAGGCCTATAATCCCAGCACTTTGGGAGGCCCAGATAGGAGGATCAACTGAGTCTAGGACTTTAAGACCAGACTGAGAAACACAGGGAGACTATCTCTACAATAAAGTGGAAAAATTAACTGGGCATAATGGCACAGGCCTGTAGTCCCGAGCTAACTGGGGGGCTAAGGCAAAAGGTTGCAGTGAGCTATGACAACTCCACTGCACTCTAGCCTAGGCGACAGAGTAAGACTTTTGTCTCAAAAAAAAAAAAAAATTCTTTTTAAATAAAAATAAATAAATTTTGACCTACTACATATGGGTCAAACGACAATTAATTATGTGGACTTGCAGCTATATATTGGCTAAGTCCTCATTTGCTCAGAAATTCAACTGTTGACCAATTTATTCCCTAGTAAACCAGAGAGCCAAGATTTTTGTCTTTCAGATAATTCTCAACTCCTGTATCTTATGACCAGGAAGATCAACAGGGATATAATGAAACTGAGAATTCCACGTAGTTTACTCTTACCTTACTCTCACTGACATCAGAAATCCATTCTTTTACTAAATTGTTCAATTTACCAAGAACTACCAACCTGTGAGAAAAAATAAGATGCTTTAGACTAAAACAACAAAAAAAGTATTAAGAAATAAACATACAAGTAGCACCCTTCGTGTTGGTGGTAGAGTAAAACCATATTATACATGTCATAATGCTATCACATCTGTGGACACACAGTACATCTCTTTGGCATTCTTAGGGAACTAAGAATGCCAAAGAGATGATAAATATGATGACAGTATTTTGGTCTCTGAGCTACCTTAACAATTCAAAAAGCCTAATAAAAACCATAAGTTTATATTCAATGAGGCTATAAAAGCTGAGTGAACTGTCAACTTTCTTGGCTTTATTACAGAATTAATTCAACGAGGTAAAAGAGGCTAGAATTCTCTCCCTACCAATAACAAGTCTTTGGATAAATAAAATGGGTAAATTAATTATTGGCTAATTTCTGTGAAATACTAATACTTAATAAAAGCAGTTTCATATTATTAAAACAAACTTGCAACCAAAGGCATAAATAAACCTATATTAAAAAAAGAAAGATAGGACCAACAGTGATTCATGCCTGTAATCATAGTACTCTGGGAGGCCGAGGTGGGAGCATAGCTTGAGCTCAAGAATTTGAGATTACCCTGGGCAAGAGTGAGATCCCATCTCTACTAAAAATAGAAAAATTAGCCAAAATAGAAAAATTAGCATTGTGGTGGGCACTTGCAGTCCCAGTTACTTGGGAGGCTGAGGCAGGAGGATCACCTGAACCAAGGAGTTTGAGGTTGCTGTGAGCTAGACAGATACAATAGCACTCTAGCCTGGGGAACCACTGTCTTGGAGGGGCAAAAAAAAAAGAAAGAAAAAAAGAAAAAAAAAGTATGGTTCAGACATTTCACAGATAATATATGCAAAAGTAAACTCCTGATAGGTTCAAACTTGTTTCTCCCTCAGTCTTTTCCAGATAACAGAACTCTATCTTTAAGGTGCTAAGACCATATAAATCTTGGCATCATCCTTGACACCTCTCCCACTCACATTCCATAGCCATTAAATTCTAACAACCCCACCTTTAAAATACAAGTCCCCAGGTTATGACTGAGATTGGTTCTGTAGGTTTGTTCTTAAGTTGAATTTGTACATAAGTTGGGACAGGTACATTTACCTACAACCTGTGATAGCCTCTGTTTGTAAGTGCAAGTCATATGTCAGTCAGATGTCTACAGCTCCCTCATCTTCAAGTTTCCCCTTAAATGAACTTTCTTAACAAGACTTTCCATGAAAACTTCTATCCCTAGCCTTATTCTTCTTAGCAGCAGAGAAGAAATGTATAAAAATGTATAAAATGAGAAAAATGTATAAAACTGTATTTATATTACTCAGATAACTGTTAATCTCTTCCTCTAACCCCCACCTACAATGTTAGCTCCAGGAAGGCCAAGATTTTTCTTCTTTTTATCATTTCTGTACTCTTTAGCAGGGATATAGGAGATACTCAATATATGTTTGTGGAATTAGTGATTAAACAATGTACTATAAAATATGTTTTCAATGACGTACCTGTGATTCAATTCCTCCTCATCTTCAAACACTCCAAATGGTTTCATGGCGTCAATTAATTTCTGTGTATAAATATGATCAATTTCTTTAGGACATGCCAAACTAATCGGTGAGGTAATTCCGTAATGCTTTTGTTGACGCTGGCTGTCCAGCACAGTGTTTCTGTTCAAGGAAAATTAAACAGGAGAAAAACCTTAAAGTATCATACCATACTGATACATTGAATCAATTTGCTCATGTTAATTTATCTACCTTATAAGTTTACTTAGTACTAACAGTAGGTAGGCACTTTTCTTCTTAAAGGAAAAATGGGTATTTTGTGTTTGTGTTTACGAAATGCTATTCATATGGCCTCCAGCTTTCATTGTTAAGATGTCCTTTCAAGCCAAAAGCAGCACGTGTTGGCATCAGAAAACTCTACCAATACCACTAAGCTCAAATGCAAACAGCCTGAATGGGATCTGTGCCAGGGCTACCTCCTCTATACCATGCAGACTTGAGTGAAGTACCATCCAGATTCCAGAATCTCTGAAAAGCAGTCAACCACTTGAAAAAAAGCTCTCAGTAAAAACTATAGGATCCCCCTCCACAAAAGAAACAAAAACATCCATTAGCAGGTCCTTGTGAAATAATCAGCTTTTAAAAAGAGATCACAACTAGATTTATTCTTGAGAAACCTACATTAACACCTTTTGAATGGGAATTTACCGTTCTAACATTTTGCGATTTTAGCTAATTGTTCTCTTCATTTTCAACTGGTTCATGTATCATTTTCACACTGAAAGATTATAAATTCTTTATACCTAATGGCAACCTTTTATAGGATATAATACAACTCACCCTCCAAAGACACTAGCCATCAGGAAGTTATAGTCTTGACTAAAGTACAAGAGAAGGTCTGAGATGTTAGGTTTATACAGACCAATAGTTTCAAAATAAATTCTGGAACGAACAGAGGTTGCTAAAACTTTTTATTTTGCTAGGAAAGTAAAGTAAAAAATGGCCAGGCGCAATGGCTCATGCCTATAATCCTAGCACTCTGGGAGGCTGAGGCGGGTGGACTGCCTGAGCTCACAAGTTCCAGACCAGCCTGATCAAGTGGCAAGACCTCCTCCTCCCCATCTCTACTAAAAACAAACAAACAAACAAAAAATGAAAGAAAGAAAGAAAAACTGAGGCAGGATAATTGCTTGAGCCCAAGAGTTTGACGTTTGATGTGAGCCATGATGCCACAGCACTCCACCAAGGGTGACAAAGTGAGACTGTCTCCAAAAAAAAAACACTAACCAACTAACCTTACCATCTGTTTTCACAATACTTTCATGATGGGCCTTTAGCATAGCCAATGTAACTTAAATTGAATAAATTAACCCTGTGAAAAATCAGACAAACAGTGATTGTTGGATTTTGGATTTTGACTGGTCAAAACACTGACTTAACATTACAAAGCCCACAAAGAGAAGCATGCTTTTTTTAATTTTTAAAGATTTCATTCTGTAGAGAGAATCAAATAGAAGATATATAGGCAGTATATACCTTCCAAAATGACTCAAAAAAACAAAAGGGAAACATGAAAACTTCAATTAGTTATTTAGAGTTGTAATTTCCTTTTAAATATTCAGATTTTGTCTGGCCTAGTGGCTCACACCTGTAATCCTAGGACTCTGGGAAGCCGAGGTAGAAGGATCCCTTGAGTTCATAAGTTTGAGACCAGCCTGAGCAACAGCGAGACCCTGACCCATGTTGTGGCGGGTGCCTGTAGTCACAGTTACTCAGGAGGCTGAAGCAAGAGGATCATTTAAGCCCAGGAGTTTGAGGCTGCTGTGAGCTGTGACACCACAACACTCTAGCTAGGGTGACAAAGTGATACTCTGTCCCCACCCCCCCAAGAAAGAAAAGATTTGGCTTTTTACCTCTAAGAAAACAAGAACTTTTTTGGTATGTTTGTTCGTACATAGGTAGTATAAATGTATATACAAGGTGGACAGAAAGTTCGTGTACAAATAGTTTAATATAGTAAATTGCACACAAACTTTCTGTCCACCCTGTACAGTAGATTGATTGTCCATATAGGATCATTCCATCACAATAATAACCCTAATGGACAGGTGTTGATTAAGTGACATTTTAAAGATAAGTACCTGCAGTTCAAAGCAAGAAAGATACAATGAGATACTACCTTACCCCTAGTAGAATGGCCACTATTAAAAAGTCAGAAAACAAATGCTGGCATGGATGCAGAGAGAAATACTTAAACAATGTTGATGGGACTGCAAATTAGTACAACCTCTATGGAAAACAGTATCAAGATTCTTCAAAGAAATAAATATAGACCTACCATTCAATCCAGCAATCCCAGTGCTGAGTATCTACCCTAAGAAAACGAAGTCATTTTATATAAAAAGACACCTGCACTCAAATGTTTATCACAGCATAATTCACAATTGCAAAGATGTGGAATCAATCTAAGTGTCCACCAATGCATGAGCGGATAAAGAAAATGTGTGGGTGTGTGTGTATGTGTATATAAAAAATTCAGAACACACACACACAATGAGTACTACTCAGCCATAAAAAATAATGTCATTTGCAGCAACATGGATGGAACTGGAGACCATTATCCTGAGTACCTCAGGAATAGAAAACCAAACACTGTATGTTCTTACTAATAAGGGGATGCTAATAGAACGGTACAACAGGCACAAGGCAACAAGAGAAACCAACAAGGAGGCCGGATGAGGGGAATGAGATAAAAACTAACCTATTGAGTACAATGGACAGTACTCTGATGACTGGCACACAAAAGCCCTGACTTAAGTATTATACAAGGTATCTATGCACCAAAAACACTTGTACTGCCTTAATTTTCTGAAATAAAAAATTATTTTTAGTTAAAAAAATTTAAAAGTGGTCCCCCCCTCAAAAAATAGAGGAAGAGACAGAACCTGAACCCCAAAACCTCTTTCCACCACCTATTCTCCCCTCCCTAATTACTTCAGTTCTGACACGGATCCTGGGTCTTACTTTCTTATCTGTGTGTCCCAAAAGTTGGCTATCTAGGTGCCTTCTGGTCCTAAAATTCCAAATCCAGGACTTTGAACTTCCCTCATCTAGCTGAGAGTGGAAGGAAGTAAAAAACTGATCCTACATTCCCTTCAACCCATCAGTTTCTCTTATAGGCAAACACTCTAGGGAAATTCTAGTAAAAGGGTATAAGTAAAAAAATGTTCACTGCCATATTGTAACATTAAAAACTTAGAACAACCTAAAATAGTCACTAACAGGACAAAGACTAAATTAGGGTGCATCCCTACAATGGAATACAATACAATACAGTACTTACTATGAATTAATTCAAATTGAAAAAAATACCAACCTAGACAACGCTCAAAGATCATGTTGCTCTAAAGAAGGGAAGTTGCAGAATGACAAGTATGACACTAATCATATAAACTTAAAAACAAGTAAAACAATATCAGTTATTATGGCCACATTCATATGTGGCATACAATAAACATCAAATTTAGGGCTGTAGGAGCCTCTGGGGAGGAAGATATAAATGAGACCAGAGAAGACGGTAGGAGGTTCCTTCAGGTGTATTTGGAATCTTATAAATAAAGAGATACACAAAGATATACATAAAGAGATACACAGATATATATACACACATCACACACACATATATGTTATGCTTTGGGGAAAATGGGTGGTGGCTACACAAATGATGCTTATGTTATTCTCTGCATTTTTCTTAATCCTTAAATTATTTCTTAATAAACCAAAATCTAAGAAACTACCACAAAATCTTGCCAAGCACTGACTGTTTCTGACTTACCAAAATGTGAACAGGACGTACAGACCGGTAGATATTGCGGATAGGTGGGTAGATAAGAAGTAAAGACCTTAGCCTTTATTAAAGAGAAACCCCTGGGCTGGGATAGGTCATTCACTCCTGAAGACCTGAAGAAAGCTGGTCGGGAAGGGAGGAGGGGGAGGCAGGGGGATGGTATTTGCGCCAATGCAGACAGGAGCAGACGGGCTCAGACAGTGCTGGGGGCAGGAGAGTGACCGACAATTTCTCCCTATGGAGACACGCGCCTCTCCCCGTCCTCATCCTCGTCTAGGGCGTCCTGAGAGACGATACAGCCAGGGGCAGACGCGGACTCCAGGAGTCCACCAGTCAGGAGAGGGGTGTTCAGGTGAGCAGCGAGTGTAGGGGAGATGCCCTTGCGGACCGGCCGAGAGCAGGGAAGGAGACCACTAAGGCGAGCTGCAGGCAGGGTGTAAGGGGCAGGGAACAGAAACCGGGCCCCAGGCTAGCCACCCCACCTCACCCCTATCTGCCTCGCCCCCAACCGCCGCCCCCCACCACTTACGCAGACATCTCTTTCATCGCTTCCTGCGTCTCCCTCTCCAGAGAGTCTCTTTCGCTCTGAGGTCCTGTTGTTGTTGCTCCCTTCTCCCCCTGTCCACTTTCCTCTGGTGGCTCGTAGCTCGCTTGCTCGCTCACTTTCTCACTACGGCTGAGGCATCCAAGTGAGTAGTGAAAACACCACAAAACCGGCTCTATTTATGACAATACACCGCGGCCGACGCCAATATGGCGCCGCTTCCCAGCCTGCCTCTCGCCCGCTGCGGCCCCGCCCCTGGCGGCCGGACCCACCCTCGGCCACGCCTCCTCCGCCTTTGGGTCGCGTGAGGCTCCGAGGGCCCCGCCCGCACGGCTGAGGGCTCTCTCTGCCGGCTACAGTCCGAAGGGGCGTGCGGTCACCTCCTTTGTCCGTGGGACTGTCAATCCAAGCAAACCGCTTGGAAGGTAATTTGTAAACACGTTTTACTTAGTTCTCGGATAAGAACATATATTATATAGTTTTTATTTTTAAATTTTTTCTTGGTGCCGTTCTTGGATTCATAAATATTTTTTAAAAGCTCACAGCCTTGCTTAGCAAGTACTGTTTTAACTCTTCCATTATGCTACATCTTTGACTTAGTCAGAGTCACACGTAACCTAATCAATCAATCTCCTTTGAGGAGATTTTTGTCTCTAGAGTGTCACGCCCAGGAACATGCAACTTTAACACAATTATCCCCGGGAAAAGCAAACTTGTAAATTGGAGGCTAACTGTTCACTTTACACCTAAGTACCACCCCTAATTCATGACATTCTGACATTTACCTCACTGGTTGAAAGTAATTGTTAGCCATTGGCAATAGGACGGACCCAAGGCTGAATCAGAATATTCTTACACTTTCAAACAGTGGAGATCACATTCCACGTGAGTTTGAGGATAAAAATGTGAAAATAAATGACCAATTTTAAGATGTTAAAAGGAAGAAATAATTTCAAGTACTAAATTATTACAAAGACAAGGATGTCAAGAAGCAGCTTGTTCTTTCAATATGTCTCAGAGTCACAGTAAATAGAAGAGATTATTATACTTACTGAATTATTCACTAAAAATATTTATTAAAAACTGTCAGGCACTGTGTTAAGCTCTAGTGATTTAAGATGCATAAAACCAGATGTATTCTTTGATCTTATAAACTTCAAAGTTAAGTGGGGGAAATAATCAAATACACATATATGTGATAGTCTTCTGTTGTTGAACTAAGTACCTACTATGTGTCAGGCACTGAGGATACTTAATTCCTGCCCTCAAGAATTTACCGTGTAAGGCTCCGTACCTGTGGCTCAAGTGGCTAAGGTGCCAGCCACATACACCTGAGCTGGCAGGTTCAAATCCA